AAGCAACTCTGGGCTTAGCCACCAGAAGAAAGGTTTTCTGCTCCTTTAAGACAGGCAAGTCAGTGGGTCTGCCGCTGACTCCCCTTTGTTGCATTAGGTGGTTCAGATACATTCAGGTTGGATACACAAGTTTAGGAGCAAAAGTGCTCCATTTTGTAATTATAAGCCTATTAAAGCTGCAGTAGTTACACAGTACAATAATCTTCATGCCTACAGCTTCTTTTCTTTTTTCTCTCCATAGTCATATTTTGAATCTAACGAACAGCAGCCAAGTTACAGTCCTTATAAATTTTATGGGTGCATTCTAATTCATGTGGACTACATAAAAAATTGTCCTCTACAGGAGTCAGTGTAGATGGCTTGGCAGTCCTGCTTTATTGTTTAAGATGGGGAAGACAAAGTACTTAACTACTACTGATAGTGTTCTAAATTGTTGTTTGCTTCACCTTTTTTTATTTTAACACGTTCGATTTGATAATAGCAGTAAAGACATTAGGACAGGCCTTTATCAGTCAGATAAAAAATCACCAACTCTTAAGCCTTTCGCATACAGCTTTTGACTAATTTAGCTCAACTGTTATCTAGCTGATAAGATTAATGGTAGGATTTCTTCCAGCTTTTTAATTTTATTCTTGCTATGAAGTTCAAAGGTTGTCCAAGAGCAGTATTCCACTATGAAGACTCAAATGCCCAGAGATCACCTTTCTCTTCCCTTGGGTAAAGGTCTGGGAGTTTTCAGAAATCATAGTGGTACGTTTTGTCTTCATGAAAATAACACTCCCTACTTCTGCTCTTCCTCGAGCATGCTGGGAGTGAAGGACAAAGCTGAATTTCCAAGCCTTGGATATCTCTATTGGCAATTTGTCATACTGCTATTCGGCAAACACTTGGAGAGACACTTCAACCAGTCATGAAATGCTGCTATTTTGCTACTTTGTGGGCAATGCGTATCATCTGTTGTAAACACAAGCATCTCAATCCTTGCTCTGTGTGTGCTTTTGCAAAAGAGGTGGATGACATTAAAGACTTTCATCTTTATTGTGTGATCCACAACTTAGTATTCAAAATAGTCAGCAGAGAACATGGTTGCATAGGAAGTTGGTGACATGACATGGAATACAGAAAATGATGCATCTGGCTATGGTTCTGGGGTAGATTTAGGACCTCTTTTAACGGCATGTGATTTGTTCTCTATGCTGTGGTATCCGCTGTGAACCATAGCTAAACACAGGAACCCATTGTATCCTCTCTCAGGTTTACTTTTGTGTTAAATGGTTCCCACGATTCAGTGCAGTATGGCTTCCTTGTTCAAACAGAATCAAACAGAATCAGAAATGCTCAATCTCCAGTTTAAAAACCTTCAGACTGAGTGATAGTGAAACTTGGGTTGTAACCTCTGGTAATATTTCAGACTAACACTTGCCGTCATCTGGATAACTGATTTACAGTTGAGTCCCATTCAGTTAGTCAAATAAATCTGTTTCATTTATTTCATCATGATGAACAGAGGCAGGACTGAACTTCTGTTGTTCTGTACATGCTCATAGTACCTGGAAGATCCTGGGCATGTGTACAGAAATGAGAAAGGAACTGGAGATCTTAAGACCTCTCCATGTCTAGATTTACATTACAAACTTGTGTCGCTCTTCCAAATATTAACCAATCTACTTGAAGGATAACCAACTTGAATATGTCAAGTGTGTATCCTGATCAGGACCTGAATTGTTTGGGGTTAGCAGGAGGCTGTGTCTTTGGGACCAGGAAGAAGGGGTGCATTTCTTTTAGCTAACCTGTACTTCATGAGCTTGTCTTTGAGGATGCTATGGGAGGCAAAGCCTTACAAAGCCTTGAAAAATACAAGATAAAGAATATCACTGATGTTCCCTTTTCCACCAAACCAGTCATCTCATTGTAAAAGGCTATCAAGTTGACGAGGCATGATTTTTTCCTTCATAAATCCATACTGACTGTTCTCAATCACCTTCTTGTCCTTAAAATATTTGAAAATTATTTCCAGGGTTACCTGTTCCATCACTTTCCAAGATATCAAGGTGAGGCTGACAAGCCTGGAGTTCCCTAGGTCCTTCTTCTTACCCATCTTGAAAGTGGGAGTGATATTGACTTTCTTCCAGCCCCTAGGAACCTCCCCAGTTGTCATGACCCTTCAAAGATAGTTGAGAGTGGCCTCACAATGACACAGGCCAGCTCCCTCAGCGCTTATGGGTGTGTCGTATCAGGTCTCATGGACTTGTGTATGTCCAATCTGTTTAAATGTTCCCTTACCTGATCCTTTCCATTAATTTAAGTTTTCCTTGCTCCAGACTTTCCCACTGGTCTCAGGGGCTGGGATTGCTGAAGGCTGATCTTGCCAGTAAAGACTGAGGCAAAGCTCATCTTTCACCATGTTCTTTGTCACCTTCTCAGTAGAGGGCCCACATTTTCTATAGTCTTCCTCTTGCTGCTGATGTACCTGTAGAAGCCCTTTTTTTTGTCATTCATGTTCTTCTCCAGATTTAGCTCCAGTTGGACTTTGCTTTCCTAGCCGTTATCCCTGCGTGCTCGAAGTATCCATATTCTTCCTGCATCATCTGTCCTTGCTGCTGCCTCTTATATGCTTCTTTTTCATGTGTGAGTTTTATTAGGAGCTCCTTGTTCATCTACACTGGCTTCCTACCACTCTTGCTTGAATTTCTGTTACTCAAGATGAACCATTCTTGAGTCTGGAGGAGGTAATCCCTGAAAATCAGTCAGCTCTCCTGGACCGTTCTTTTCTTCACTATCATATCCCACGGGATTCTTCTAAGCAGGTCTCTGAACAGGCCAAAGTCTGCTCTCCTGAAGTCTGGTGTTGTAAGTCTGCTGTATGTCTTGTTTCTCTTGGGATCCTGAACTCCACCATCTCATGGTCACTGCAGCCAAGGCTGCCCCCAGGCTTCGTATTCCCGACCAGTTCTTCCTTATTTGTAAGTATCAGGTCCAGCAGAGCATGTCTTCTTGTCAGCTTCTCCATCACCTGTGTCAGGAAGCTATCATCACTGCACCTCAGAAGGCTCCTGGATTGCTTGTGTCCTGATGTGTTCCCCTTCCAACAGACACGAGGGTGGTTAAAGTTTCCGCTTAACTGGCCAGAATTTAACACACTAGGATTCATGGCTAGCTCACTGTCTGTAACAGGAGAAGATGTGAAGTAGGAAATGGTATTTGTGGCTAGGTAGACATTGACATGGAAAAATAGTGCTGCAGATGTTAGTGGCCAAACATACATCTTAGTATGGACGGCATTGCTGTAAATATGAAATAGGATAAATGTGATAATATGGAGATGAGAAGAAAAAAACTGAGGGCTGCTTAAATGGGAATTGCTGGTAGAACAATCCTATTCTAATTTTGACTGGCTCAAAATCTGTAGGTGGGAGGGAAATCATAATCCTGAGAGTTACAGTTTGCTAAACAATAACATGAGAAAATAGTTCACAAAATGTCATTCAGGCTTCTTGGTGAATTGAAACTATGGGAAGATGTAAAAGAAGCTTAAAATATGTTTCAGGAGTACAAAGGTTGTATGGTCTGGTAGTACCCTTACTGGTAAGAACAGTATCATAGCAAGTTTTGGGTACCTTATTTCACATAATAAAGCTGAAGTAAATCTTGAATGTGCTATAAAGAAAAAAATATATAATTTTGGTAAAAATATCCTTTTGTGACTGACTATGCAGGGAAAATCTTGCTTATGAAATAATGAGAACTGAAGAGATGGTAGGTCATGTCTGTCCTGGAAGGTAGAGCTGTGAGTGGAAAATTCTGGCACCTTCATCAGGCTGAAGGCTTAGGAAGCAGTATTGATATTTTGCTGCTGGACAGACTGTATTTGCTGAATTAGAATCTTGAACCAGTTGTGGTTAGCTTTGTCTGAGTGTTTAGGTAGCAATTTGTTTAATTTCTGCATGGTAACCCTTTTCTAGGAAAGTATTGATGTCCAGCTGAAAACTAAACACCTCTGGGTTAGCTCCCTTGGCTGAAGGCAAACACATGTTTAAGTGACTTGCTGGACTTTAGCCCAAGGACCTTGTTTACCGTTATGGCTCTGTTTCCCATTGCACTCTTGTTCTGTCACCAAATGTAGCGCTAGCCAGCATCTCTGCTTAACGATATAGCAGTCCTGTCATTTTGCTCATAATTTGGAATTATATTTCTTGCCCCATATTTCTAGAAGCAGCCAACACAGGGCAAAGGAATTAACAGAGTATCTCCTAAGCATTTTAAGATATTTGTGGCACTGAATCAGACAGACAAATGGATGTTTACAAACCTCCTGGCTAATTTTGAAATTGTGACTCCTGTTTTAGTGGGTGCAGGGCTGAGTAGCAGTAAGTGGCACATCCATTGAAAGAATAACTTTTTTAAAGTAGTGAATTTTGTATCCTTGACGTGCTGTCTGGACAAAGAAGCCTCTGAAAGAGAGGGGGGAGAAAGCAGGTGGATGGATGCAGGAAGCAACTAGCTATCTGGAGGAAAGAAGTGGCTTTCCCAGAGTTGAAATTGGAGTTCTGTCTTTTGGAGATGAACGTGACAGTTTGTGAGTAAGCAGGAAGTAACTCAGCAATAAAGTAATCTCGCTTCAACACTGACATTTCCTTTAAAAACTGAGGAGGGAAAATCCAGATAAGCATAAATATAACCATCCAATTTTGTTTCTGCAATTATTTGCAGAGCAATTAACGTAAAAGCTTTCTTTACCGAAGAGAATCATAAATTAATGGTTTCCATAGAGTAAAGACTGTGAGTGTGGTTTATTTACTTCCTGCTGTTACAGACTATCTAATTAGTGCTTTTAAACTGCATTCCCAGTTCTTGTCACTAGCTTGTAAAAATACATTCTTTGAAAATAAATGCCAAGTTCAAGGTTAAAAAAGTAATCAAATTTATTTTGTCTGCAACCAGGTTTTTCAGTGGAGACTGTGGAACTGTTCTTTCTTGGCTACTGCTCTTTGAGATCAATTATGGAACATGCTCAAGAACATGAAGCATGTCTTGAGCAAACCCAGAGTTATTGTGTGGAGAGACCAATATATAACCAAGAACTCTTGCAAGGGCAGCTGCACAGACGAGAAAGAACACCTCAGACTTTAAGGCAGAAGATTGCACGTTCTTGTCGGTAGGGGTTTTTTTCTTTTTTTTTTTTTTTATTGGTTAGAAATAGTCTAATTCTTAATTGATTCATGCACATAGCTGGTAACCTCTTCAAAGAAACCTAAAAGATAAAAGCACTAGTTCTACTTTGATTATTCAGCAAGACTCTGATGAAGTTGCATATATGTTTTTATATGTTAATATATAACTATATTACAAAATGTTGTATAAGTTAATTTAATTGCGTTCATGAAAGTGCAAAAGAAAAATATGTAGCATAGGAATGTGAAGTATTAGTCAAATCATGTGACATTAATTCATAAGACCCAGAAAAATATCTGTCCTTTTTCTGTGGAAATACTTACGGTCAAATTTATGCTTCACATGATCCTTTCAAGGAAGAAGAATGGAGATATATCACAGCCGTGTAGAAATCTAAATTATTAGTCTAATAAGGACTTATCAGAGGCATTCTGTAGCTTTTAACTAAGTGCCTTGGAATCTAAGTATCATCTGGTTAGACAGGAAATGTCTTTAATTGTGCAACTCTTGCTTTGTGATACCAGAGTTAAGTTCTCATTAGCTTTACCTTTATCCATGTTTCATTTGCAGGGTTGATTCAATTTCTTGCTAGAACCTTGTTCTGCAAGACAATAAATGATTTCTGCCTGACTGCTTGTCTGTGAAATATTCCTGTCCACATGATTTGACATTTGGAGATTTGTTTTAGTTAATGGACTGTCCATTCTAATGGTAATGGCACCTAATTCCACCTCAAAAAACTTGTCTGTCCTGAATAAAAAATACATGGATGAAAATCCTCCTGAGCTACGACTTCTTGTGATTCAATCTGCTTAAACATGGAGAAGTGTGGATGGCTCTAATTTCTCTCTCACTTATAGCAATAGGCTTCTTCACTATACAGCTGAGTCTCATGAGAATTCAGAAATGTTAACAAACCTCTGCAGTTCTCTTGCCATTCCCCTACACAGAAAAACATTTATGTGATCCCCATGTTATATGTTTAACCCAAGGTTAAACTTTCTTACCATAATACAATCAAAGTATGATGTATGGCAGTACTGGATAGAGATATTTATTTCCTGGCTGTAGTCATTTGTCATGAGTCAGGGTTTCAAAAGGTTAATAACTCTGCTAAGTGACACAAGGATCAGTGTTGCTGGCTTCAGTGCCTTTCTCTTCAGGGTAAAGAAAGGTTATGTTCTCAAATAGCCTTAAAGTTAGCGTGTGAGTACCAGTGATAGTAAAATAGTTTTTAAAAAAAGAATAATAATATAAAATATTATTTTTCGAAAGTATGAAGCACACAAATAGTAAATAAAAATAGGACAAATCATTGCAAAGTACTTGGAGTGAAAACCACTATCAGAAAACAAGTTATCCTCAGGGGATTGTTACTAGGAATGATCTCAGCAAAAAGTGGTGTGTGACTGCTCAGCTGTGTATGGACTTGAACAGTTTCACTTCCCACTGACCTCCAGCCTCACAAGACTGTGATTCTCTTCTCCAGTTCCATGAGGTTTGTGAACAGCAACCAACATGTGATAAACGGCTGAGTTAACTGGAGTCACAATTGTTTGTGCTTGAGCTTCATTCAGAAGTTACTGTCATCGGGGGTCTGAGCCTGCCTTTAATTGAGCTGTTCCTCTGCATAGGGATGAAATACAATTTTTTTTCCACCCGTTTGTCTCCTTCTGGTGTCTAAATTTTTCCTTCTGCTTTGTATTTTCAGTTGTTCTTCTAAGAAGGCCAAGTCTCATCTTTACCGTTTCTTGCCAATTTTAAAATGGCTTCCCCGTTACCCAGTGAAGGAATACTTATTAGGAGACATTATCTCAGGTATAAGCACTGGGGTTATGCAGCTTCCTCAAGGTGAGTATCTCTCTGGATTTTTTTATCCTCTCTGCTTTTTCTGTGTGTGCTTTTATGGTAGTGCTTGACTTCCTGAACAGGTGCTCATGAGAATAGGATGTGTGTTTCAGGTGTGTGTGGAGATCAGGACAGCATTCTGCAGACCGGCCCGTAATGGTGATTCCCTTAAAACTGCAAATCAGTGATATGCAGCAAATTCTGAAAGAAGCTTACCTCTCTGATCAATACCAACAGCTCTCAATGTCAGAACAACTTTTCACAGTTTAGGTGCATGTCTAAACCTTTGCTGAATACACTTAATTATTCTCTGATCTCTTCATGGTGAAACTTGTAGCAAATTTCCTACAGAGCGTAGCAGTATGTAATAGATATAATGTTTCAGGAGGGCAAATGTTGCAAAGTAACCAAACTAAATTCAACCAGAGAATGTGCAAGAAATTAGAGGCTGATCCCTCTTTTTCTCTTAAGGATGGAAGTCACCAGTTTAAGCTGGAACCATAGTAGTGGGCAATGATTTACATGGTAGAAATAAATAAAAAATACATTCTATAACAAGAGTGCAGATCTGTGGGATTTCTATTAAATTACTTGGAAGTTTCACCCCAAGTGGAACCTGGCCCTGAAGCAGGACAAAGAGAAAGCCAGCATTCACTTTTCTGTTCATCTCTTGGTGGAATCTTTGTTCAGCCTGACCCCTTACTGTCAGCAGTTTCAGAACTGCTATGGGGTTAGAAAGTGCATTTTTACAGCAGCATCCTTATGGGGTGCCATCACTGCTCTGGGAATGACAGCTTCACAACAGCTGCCATGGTCCCAGTAGATTTCCCCAGGAAGTCTTGGAGTAGAGAGAATTCTTGAATTTGTGCAGAGCCCCGTCCAGAGAAGTCCTCATGCTAAGGGTAATATAATTAAGCATATATAAGTTTACTTGCATTTTGGCTTATTTCATATTTCCACCTCACTCGTTTCACTTTAGGTTGTAGATCTGAAGAATTAATCTGTAAGTCCAAGAAGCCTAGATTTTAATAGGTCGTAACCCATTAAAGCCATGGAATATCCTAACTTAGTCTGTGCAGATGGCTTCTTTATTTCTGCAGCTTCCTGGCTTTGTGCAATTTTTTATAATTAAGGTTATTTTTTTCTTACATAAATATAAACATCAACTTATCTTAAACTCATAAGTAATGGGGTTAACTGTCAAGCAAATCTGTCATATACTAGACACAAAAAATACTGGTTGTATACTGAAACATGGTGGTCAGCAGTGAACTTTATCCTTAATTTCATGACTTTGTTTTAAACTAAACATTATTCTTTCCTTTGGTGACTGCAAACATACTCTTGAACTGCTCCTAATCTTTCCCTTTCTAAAAAGACAAAAGTTGAACTTTTATTTTTCTGGAATGGATGTAATTATAGCAAACATGAATTCAAAGAATCCTGGGAATCATTCCAGGCAGAACTACAATGACCAGGGTGTCTAAGCCATGAACTACTGTCATGTCAATATCTCTTTATTTCCTTGGCATAGACAGCCTTTAAAAATGCCAGTACAAATGAAAAGGAATAAAAGGGTATTCAGATCAGAAACTTCACATAGACACACCCTCCTAGTTTTGAAACTAGTGGTTTTTAGTTCTGGTCACTTGTACTGTTAAGTTCATCACCGTATTAAAGGCCAGGCTGTTCTGCTGATACGCTTGGCATGAGAAGTTGCCCCTGGGGCGCAGAATATATGTAGAATTAGTTTCAGAAGCACTTAACAAGAAGTTCATTGCTGCAAGAGAATAAATGATATAATCAGTCCTGTTCTGATAGCAATATGAATTCTTGGCTAGGGCTCAGACATCGCTTAGGGCATGAGCAAGGCCGTGTGAGCTATTACACTGCACAAGAGTGCTTGGATGGCACTGAAGATTCCTCCCTGGTTTTGTTCTTTGATGGTAACCTGATGTTTTGTCTCTCAATTTAAAAATAATTAATAGGGAGTGGTGTTTTTGAGTATCACTGGCTCTCCACGGTGGGTGAACAATTGCCTTCTTTTGTAATTTGCACTGGACCATTGCACTTTTCAGTCCTAACTTGAACCAGTCTGCCCAAGTGTGTGGTAAGAACACACAGCTTCCTCAGGTGTCATGGGTCTGCACTTGTGAAGGCGAATTGGTGAACCAAGCCAATCCAGGATACGACGTTTTCTTCTTGAGGCCCATTTGTCCAGTTCTGGTGTCTAATTAAACCACAAGCTATGTAGGACTATTGATTTTGCTGGAACTGCTTGGGACAGTTACATACCATATCATGTGGTGCACACAGTTTTCTTGTGAGCCTGGTCCTGTAATAAGCACATGCTCAGTCACACAGAGGAGGAGCACTGTGGGAGATGTCCCTCCCCCGTGTCCCTTAGAGCAGGTCCCCCACAGCTCCAGTGCCATGCTTGCCAGCCCCACCTACAGATAGGAGTGGTGTGGATCACACATCCCCTGCATGCAACTGGACAGGGCTTAATAACAAAAAGGACTTCATTTTCGGGGAGAATCGCAGACATAAGCTCTGTGACCTTACAGATTGTAAACAATGCTTCCCCGCTTATTTTACATTTTGGAGCATGTTTTGCAGAAACAAACTGATATGTCATCCCACTCATTCTGAGATGAGGGGGGAGAGAAGAGGGAAGTGTTTCATCAGTCATAGATTACCATATCTGATTAGAAAAGGAGGAGAAAAAACAAATGTCCCATTGATTTTGGGGCTTTGGGGCTTGGGGTGTTTTTAATTGCATTCTTTGACAGATGAAACCAAAAGCAACAAGAAGTGTTTGTTGGCTATTAAGAAGTACTTCCAGCCACAAAGGCAAAACAATGAGTGCATGAATGCACAGATGTGCACACAAACATGCACGCACCCACCGGCAGTGCCTGTTAGAGGCTTAGGGTTTCCTGACTCAAACCACTCAGGTTTCTAGGCACTGATCCACAGTATTACACATATTTTAAAAGTATTTCCTGCAAAACTTCTTGTTTTTTAAACCTATGATATGTCACTAGATTTCCTATCAGGTGAGTTCAGTTTTAGTAGGCTTAAGTCCTCTTGCTTCAGAGGTTTGGTTTCTTTCTGTTGTTTGCTTAACATACACATTTTTGTGTTTGTTTTCTAGGTTTAGCCTATGCTTTGCTGGCAGCTGTTCCCCCAGTATTTGGCCTATATTCTTCATTTTATCCTGTCTTTCTATATACTTTTTTTGGAACCTCCAAGCACATATCAATAGGTATATCTGTATGGATAACTGAAAGTCTTTGTGTGTGCATGTGTTTAATAAAGTTGTGAAAAATAGAACTGGAAAAAAAGAAAGTGTAGGTGTTTTCCATAAATTCAAATTTAAGTCATTAGGCAAAACACAAATGTGTCAACCATTAACATTTTTATTGTTAATTTATCCATCCTACTTAAGAAGGAATAGAAGAGCATCTTTTTATTGGATGAGATCTACAAATGTGTGCTATGGACTGCTGAACTATAATTTCATCACTGCAGTCAGATGTCTGTGTAGCCATGATGAATCTTTAATTTGCATAATAGAAACTGAAATAGAAAAAAAATGGTGGTGTTTACTTACCATAGAGGTCTATGTTCACCATCTTACTAGCTTTAATGGTGCTAAGTACTGGAGCAGATTTTGGACTAAAATATACAATATTTAAGTAGAAAACTCTATTATAGTTTAATTCCACATATCTCTTAATAAGAACCACTCCTAAAAAAAAAAACCTGCCAGGATTTTAACCACTTATTTTCCTTTCTCTCTTATTTCAGGCACCTTTGCTGTGATTAGTATGATGGTTGGCGGTGTTGCTGTGAGAGAAGTGCCTGATGAAATTATTTCTGTAGGCTACAATTCTACTAACGTTACAGACTCCATTGAGTATTACACTGCTAGGGATGCCAAGAGGGTACAGGTAGCTGTGACCCTCGCCTTTCTTTCAGGAATTATACAGGTATGTGCTTGCAGTTTGCTGTAAGGGCAAGTTCAGATGCTGCTGCCAGACTTGAATTACAAGGGACACTGGGTCATGGCGGATCCCCTGTCAATGGACTTGTGCTTCAGCACTGCACTGTGCAGAATACAGGCTGCTTCGTGCAGCCACATAACAGAAGTGGGGAAAGATGCATTGGAGGCAAGTCTTTGTCTTGCATCTTGGCTTGACTGGGAAAAATGGGACCTCCCTCCTTTCTTTTTTTCCTGTCCCATCAGAAAAGCTCAACTTCATGTTCTCTAATTTGTCCATAAATGTGTACAAACGCATATGTTTACCCATATCCCACATTGTACCTGCCAGTGGCATGGAAGATTTGGTGCATTGATGGCTGCTTACCGAACTGTGGCTTTAGAAAGGCCAAGTTCAGGTTTGCCTGATCTGGCTTGGGCATCAGGTAAGAAGAGGTGTCCTGTGGCCTGTCTGCTATATAGTGCTGATGTTCAGGCTACAGTGGGAGTCACATGGTTAATATTTCTCTTCTTCATTAGTTGTGTTTAGGTCTCCTTCGATTTGGATTTGTAGCCATCTATCTAACAGAGCCTCTGGTGCGTGGATTTACTACTGCTGCTGCAGTTCATGTCTTTACTTCTCAATTAAAGTATCTCCTTGGCATTAAGACTAAACGATACAGTGGACCCCTCTCAGTTGTATATGTGAGTAACTACTTTTACTAATGCAAATGCAAATTCTGCATTTTCTGCATTGTCTGGATCTAGTACTTAAGCCTTTTCCTGTTTTTTTGGTTTTTTTTTAAATTATTTTGGCACTAAGTGGAATAAGGCTTCAGTATTCAAAATTGAGTCTGAGGTCTTTAAGTGCCGTAGCAATATATGAGCACCTTAAAGTGCAGCACTGTCTGAGATGCACAAATTTTAGAATTCTGCTAAATGTAGTTTTGTAATCTGAACAGGTAATGTTCGTTGTAGCAATGCTCTGATTTTGCAGACAAGAAATCCTGAGTGGAGGAATAAAGATGATCTCAGATATATGTGAAAACCCAATGTTTTGAGCAGATTGATGGCTCAGCAGTAACAAAGTTTCAAGATTTTGACTACATGGAGGCTCTAGAAATTACTTTGTAGGAATCTTTCTTGTATATTTGTGCAGATATAACAAACCTTTTGGAAACAAGTCTGCACTAATGATTAATTCCTAAATCTGCTGTTTAGTTCCCTAATCTGGAAACCAGAAATTCTAACTGCCAAACAAATAGGAAGGAAGGTATACATTCAAGATGTACTACCAGGACATCTTGAATGTATAATATCCTAATATCCTTATAGTTGCTGTAATTTTCCTTCTGTCCAAAGAAGTGTATGTACATCTTCTTCAAAGACCTCCCTAGAGATCCTTTTTTTTTTTTTTTTTTTTTTCCCCCCTCAATGCAGTAGAAGAAGGAGTAATTGGTTGGGGAATAATTTACCCTCTAGCAACTTGTGTGTTCCAGCAACCTCTCTTTCCTAGCATATTTTTAATAATGTTTTCAACTAAGAGATATTTGGAATAATGGCCAGTTCAGCAGTGTTGCAAGATTGCTGTTATTTAATCATATTGCTATGGTAACCTCAATGGCTGTATTAGCAGCTTTATCGGTTTAGAATGGTTTATGCAGCTCTAAGTAGATGTGGCTTGCCAAAGAATATTTGGAGGTATTAGAAGGAGTTTGCACTTATTGCTTTCAGGTAGTTGCCAGTATCAAATGTGTGTGAAAATGATGAGGATAAGAGATGTGGTTTAGTTTAAACTTTTTCCCCCATGATGCTTTTTCTTCAAATTTTTGCCCCATTTGAGGAAGACTGACATTGTTAATGGCTGCGAGTGCATCTCCCTCACTGAGATACTCTGAATTCTGTGTTTTGTGGGAACAGTGGGGATTTTGGTGAGCCACTGATTCACTGTGGTTATAAATGGAGAATAAAAACACAGCTGAACAGCAGTGTATAATTTGCTCTTTGGTGGCAAATTTCCTGAGAAAATAAATTAATTTGAACAAATACGATCTTCATGGAATAATTATACTTCTGTTGTGTTACAGAGCATAGCTGCTGTGCTTTCAAAAATAACAACAACCAATATTGCTGCATTGATTGTTGGATTGACGTGCATTGTTCTATTGTTGATTGGGAAGGAAATCAATCTCCGGTTTAAGAAGAAGCTCCCAGTTCCTATTCCTATGGAGATCATTGTGGTAAGCCAGTTGTGAAATTCTATAGCTAAATTATGTAACTATTCTAAAGTTGTAGAAATTATCTCTTTTTCTGTCAAGTCTTACATAGCTTTAGAGTAACTTCTGTTGAACATAATTCGAGGCTTGATCTACCTGAAGGTTTGAGTGGTCATAAGTTTAAGGACTAATGTGCCCAAGCTTTAGGCGTAAAGTCACAAAGAAGAATTGAAAACCCAGTTAAACACCCACAGTCCCCTATGGCAATGGGTAGGTAGAGACTTGTTGTAAAACCCACTCTGTCCTGGAGTTTCAGCACCTTAATGCGTCTCTGAGATGTGCCTCTGAGTGCTTTTTCCCACTTGGAGTCCAAGAGCTCAGAACCCCTTCCTGAAGGAAGGTGCTTACAGATGCCTGCTTCAGAGGTTCTGCAGGGCTTGCTTGCTTTTTAAAATGCAGTGACAGAAAGAAGAGCAGGAACCAGTGAGACTTACCTCTTAACCTTCCTTTCTCTGTTTCTGAGACTGATAACTGACTGCAGCATTGATTCTGTTTCAAATGACTGGTCTAAAATACACAGATAAAGCAAACTATCTTAATGCACACAAAGCCCACATCTCATATAAGCTTTCAGCTTTAAAAGTCATTGGAATTAAAAGTAAGTTCTCAGATAACTAGAGCTCTCAGACAACCTGCACAAAATCAAAGCTGAGAAAAGGAATAACTGAAGGTATAGATACAATCTAGACAGAAGGAACAAAGAAAAGGATGCTGTTGAGAGATTATGGATGTGGTGTAATAGGGTATTGTTTGATAGTAAGGCAATAGCAAAGCGATTTTACACCTGCTCCTTTCACTGCTGCTGCACCAGTTCTGTGTACAGATAACATGCAGGTTATACACATGGCTTGTCCTTGCACTTAATTTCCCAGTGCACACTATTCTGGCTGGGCTTAGCTCAGGCAAAGGGAATTTGAGTGATTCAGATCATACCATAGCATGTTCCATTTAATTGTTTCCAAGAAGAATTTATAAGATGATGGAGGGAAAATTGTGGAGTTTATTCCTTTTTATCTGCTTCTTTATGCCCTAACCCTTGGAAAACTGATTGACAAATAAAAGTAATCTCTTGTGTGTGTTATTCATGATCAGCTAACTGTTACTAGTTCTTCAGGTGGCTTTATCTCTTTATATCTGACATTTACAAATGCGGTTTTGGATTTTTAGGTAATTATTGGCACAGGAGTTTCAGCTGGAATGAATCTGAGTGAGTCATACAGAGTTGATGTTGTTGGGAACATTCCTCAAGGGTAGGGATGATATATTCTTATTCAAACTATACCTTTTCCTTATGGCATGTAGCTTTTATTATACTAATTTGTAAATATTTATTGCATCTCCAAGGTTACATCCACCAGCAGTTCCTGAGATTCAGCTCATCCCAGCAATTTTTGTGGATGCGATAGCAATAGCAATAGTTGGATTTTCGATGGCTGTGTCAATGGCCAAGATTTTTGCCCTTAAACATGGTTACACCATTGATGGAAATCAGGTAAAAGTATTTGGGTTGCTTTGTTGAAAATTCTCAGTAGCACCTTTGTGTCATCGTTAAAGTATAATGGGATATTGGAAAAAAAAGAGGCTTTCTTTCATAGTGGAATCAGGTTAGGTTTTTGTCAGCCTACACATTTAAATACCAGGGATTATTTTAAGTTCTTCTGGCTGTGTTTTAATAACTAGTTTCACTTCAGCTTCATTTTGGGAAACTTACTTCTCTTAGACTTGGATATATGCATGAATGTTAGTTGTTGAAACAGACATTACTTGGCCTACTGTCCTGATGGGCAGCTACTTTATTTCCTGTAATAGACTGAAGCATAAAGTTCCCATGTGATAAATACAGTGCCTTATATGTCAAAGAACGATTATCTAAGGTTTAGAAATTCTGGTGATGCTTTATATTTTCTTTTTATTCCCACCTATTGCAAATAGGCAGCTCATCATTTTCTGGGGCAGTAATTGTCCCTGTCCATAGATAGCATTCTGATCATGATTTGAGTGATAAAAGCTCAGTGGTTAAGGACTCTCTAAAAGTAAAACGAGATGTCATCCTCACCTGCTCTGTCCTTCCTGTGCAATTTAGAATCAATATTGCAATTGGATTATTGGTTGATACCATTGTGGTGTCAATGGAGACAGAGGTCATATGCTGTAATGCATTTCCTCGAGCAAGCATCTGACACAGCACAGATCAGCTGTTCCCCCTTCTCAAAATGGCTGTCCTCTTCTGAGAGTAAATGGAGTTTAAATTACTTTTACCTACAGAGTTTTACACCTGGTCACATGAATCTCATCCTTCACGTCATTATTCTGTTACCCAAAGAGAGAAGAGGACAGATCCGTAGCTGCATAAGCAGAATCAACTCTATTTACGTTAGTTAAAATAATCACTGACATAGATCTTAAGCATCTAGATCTTTTCCTCAGGAGGTCCCAGATGCTGCCTCACCTGGGTGTTAAACTATAGAACTCCTTGTCATAGGATGCAGTGCATTCTGAGTGTTTAAATGACTCAAAAAAGGGATTGTACAGATGCAAAGATAAAAACTCATTGAGAACTACTGAAAACTTATAACTCAAGTGGCCTCAGTTACAAATAGCAGGATGCAGAGTAATCTAGGGAGTCCTCATCACAAGCAAATACTCTTTTAGGCATCATAAACACAGTACTGTTGTGTGGGTTCTTCCTGATGAAGCAGTGGACACATTGTTTTTTTCATGTACAGCAATGGATGACCACCCATAGAAGCAGAGCCAAGGCTGCTCTTGGGTCTAATAGTACTACATAGATGGTTTAGAGTGGGTGGCAAAGAACAGTGTTTGTATGAGAAACCATTTTCCATGTATGTTCAGGGTTAAAATTCAAGTTATCCCCAAGTTGAAGAAATCCTTAAAACAAGCAATGCTGTCATTCATTTTAGTTTTCAGTCTGACTCATTACTGTAACATTTAAGGATGGGAAATGTCTCCAGCACTTTGTCAGACACTTTATTTAACAGGTGATTTAACATGCATCAATTTGTGCATGTGTGAGAACCACAAGTATAAGCTACAATAAGGTTTTTTGTTCTCTACAAGGTTGCTAGAAAGCACTGTAAATAAGATGTGGTTATTAATATGTATGGATAGCTCCAGCTTTTTATAGTTGCTAGGTGTAACTGCTTTTGTTCTGCTCTGTTGTTTAACACAGGAACTTATTGCCTTGGGAATATGCAACTCTGTGGGGTCATTTTTCCAAAGTTTTTCAATCACTTGCTCAATGTCTCGGAGTCTTGTTCAGGAAAGCACTGGTGGGAAAACTCAGGTATGTAAACACAAATTTTGAGCCAAACAGAGTTCTCTTTTTGGAGCTCCAAAGCTAAAGTCTGTAGCTTCACTAGATTGCCAGATTTCTCTGCCTGGACCAGAAGGAGTAACTGGAATTTCCCATGTTTCAGATCTGGGTTGGGCCAGAATAGAAAGCTAGCTGCACGACAGCCAAAATGGGTGAACTTGAGTGGGATGGATGAAAAGTCATTTGAACAAGCAGCCTTGTGGAAAGCATGAGAGGGGCTAGCTAGTCAGTAATACTGCCCTTTGGGGACACTTCTAATTTCTGGCTTCTTTTGTTCAGATTGCAGGTGCTCTCTCTTCAATTATGGTTCTGTTGGTAATCGTGGCTATTGGATACCTCTTTGAACCGCTTCCACAGGTAAGGGAGCTTTGCTTGTTAGGCTCTGCATTGTCAGTGAACAGAGGCCAGTGAATATTGCTTAAAATAGAGATTGTGGGAAGACTAGTAAGCAACACAGGCCTTGATCCAGAAACCTTTAAATTTTCTGTGCTTTGAAGTTGGTTTTGGCATCGGGTTTATCTTGCTCCTGAAAATTTCATTTGTGCAATGTTCTTAGACAGTGCTAGCTGCAATTGTCATGGTGAACCTGAAAGGAATGTTTAAACAATTTGGAGATGTCACACACTTCTGGAGAACCAGTAAGATGGAACTGGTGAGTAATACACAGCTCAGTGCATGTATTTTACTGTATTAAATTTGTTGCTCCTCTTCTTCGTAACCTCCAAAACAGGATAGAAACATATCAAGGTGTTACAAATTGGTATTGCATTGCAGATGACATAAGATGTGGGGCTGTAAGTACTCTAGGAGAGTGATCTATTGCAGTCAAGAATGTTTTTGTCGTCGTTCAACAACCTTTAACTTGGGTCAGAAGTGGTTTGGTTGCAGTAGAAGCAAAGCTTTTGCAGTGTTGCTATAGGAACTGCAATGAAGGCTGTGGGAATGTCTGAGAAGAATTTGAAAAACAGTAACAAAGAAAACTACTTGAAGGTATTTGCCATCTTTTAAGACAAACCAAAAATCTGTCTGGAGTGGGACAAAACTAAGAGTGTTTTGGAGAGAACATCTTGGTAGCATTTTTCTCCTGGATTAACTGGCTGATGGAAGTGAAAGCTACTTGTGGGCTTTGAAAATATATATATATATTTTTTATGCTAAGGTATTTGGGGTCTGATGGTAACAGAGGATTCCTTGGAGAACAGGACTAAAGGCATTAATTAATGTGACAGTTTGTCAGATGTTATGTTAGTGTGCTTTGAGCTTTTATGCCCTTCTGAAAGGTTAAGGCAATTACAGTCTGCTATCATGATGGATTACATTATAGCCTATTCCTGAACAGAAGTGATACATAGGTTTTGAGGTTGAATTATGGTATTGTTTTTGCTGTTAACAGAAAAGGATGCATAATAATTCAAAGCTTTTCTTTATTGTAGGCCATCTGGGTGGTAGCTTTTGTGGCTTCTCTTTTCCTGGGACTAGACTATGGCTTGCTTACTGCAGTAGCGTTTGCAATGATAACCATTATTTACAGAACACAAAGGTCAGATTTCTTCTTTATCAAAATTAGTGTTTGCTGATCTTCTATGTGGTTTTGTTTGTTTAAGGGGTGCAAATAAGCAGAAGACCTTTCAACGCTCTTCAACTGCATGCAGTATAGAATCTGCTTCATAATGTAGGTCATATGTCCAGTGGCTCTGATCGAGAGTTCACATTTTATTTTTCTGAGAACAAAATTTCTAGAGGGCATGAACTTGCAATGTCAATAATAAATAGAAGATTTACAGTTTCTTATATTGGTTAATCTTCTTCTTTACTTTTTTAATGCCTAGAGTTTAGAAGTTCAAGTCCGCTTGATGCTAGTTTCAGTAAATGTTTACATTTTGTGTGCACTAATTGTCACAATCAAGCAGAAGTTGTGTCAGGTTATCACTAGATGAATGTTTAGGTATTTTATAAGAAAGTTCTAATTCATAAAAAAAAATGTGCCTCCCCTCCTAGTTTTTAAAATCACTTCTCCTCTCTTCCCTTTCAAAGTGTCAAAGGTTTTCCTGTGGAGCTTTGCAGGTCTAGAGTGAAATTATTTCTTGCATGTGTGGATAGGGCTGTCATGAGAGGCTCTAGGCTCAAGGTCTGGGATATCAGTCTTGTTTTCAGTCTGCATTGGACTGAAACCAAATTCTGAGATTTCCACTCTGCATAAATAAGAGTATTTTTCTGCCATCTCTATATGGTTTTGTTCTTGCAAACAGAACAGTGGTGTACTTTGCTGTCACACTGCTTGTGAGTTGGGAATATTCATCTGTTTAGGCATTGTCCCAGGAGCAGAGTGGCTCTTTGAAGTTGCAGCATGTTTTCTGCTAGCATGAGTTTCCATATTTGCAAGATAGTCAATGGCGTTGCACCAGTTTACACCAAAGAGAATTTGCCCTGTAACTTTGCATGCTTTGGCCCATGCTTTTCAGAAAATGACAACATAAATGCTAAATTTATCTATTGTTTTTGCACTGACAGAAGGATCTTGCCTAGTCCCCAAAAGGCCTCTTTATTATGTTCTTGCCATAAACTGTCCACTGCATTTGACCATGTTTAGATAAGCCTGTACCAGACAGGCACTGCAGAATGACCATTTAAAATAAGTTTCAATCTGTATTGAACACTCACTTTACCACTTTATAAGTGATAATACTGAAACATTTGCTTCCATTCCTCTCTAGCCCTCAGTACAGAATCCTTGGTCAGATCCCTGACACCGATATCTACTGTGATGTGGAAGAGTACGAAGAGGTAGGAGTGTATTCTGTTGCACTGCAGGCTTCTATGTAGTGGAGCAAAGATAACTGTGGCAATTTGCTGCTTAGCGCTACTATACTGCACATATAGTGCTCTCTGCCTGGCATTCACCTATGTGGAAGGGAAAGAAAATAAATTTGATTTTAGTAGTAAAAGCTGTTTTGTTCAAAATGCTAGCTTTTTGTAATGCATGTACATTTGACGAGGAGGTGATCAAAAATAACCTCTATACTAGTTCCGTTGTACTAGCTTGTACAAAATAATAAGGTTTAGAGGAATACCACTGCTAAACTTGCTATGTGCACAAGTGCATACAAGGCCACCTTCTTTACTTGTGTGTTAGTATTCCATGACATCCATGGAACCCAGGATCCAAGCTGATCTGATCTTCAGAATTGCACAAACTGTTCAAAGCAGCATCTCCCTGCCTCCACCCATCCCCTGCTCATTAAATATACATGGTTAAAGGCACAATTGCTCGCCATGCACTTAGATTCTTATAAATTCATTTTTTTTCAACCAGAAGTTGGTGAAAGCAGTACCTTTTGTCAATATAATGGCTATAAACATGCTGTATTTATTCACAAACAGCAACTACAATTTTCTGCACTCTCTGCCGTGTTCTCAGAGATGCTGCTATGAAGGCTACATCCCCCTTTACGAAGGAACCAGTCTGTAAAAACCCATGTGAAAAAAATGATGCTGTAATCTGAAAACATTCTCTCACCAGCAGTTCTGTTTTGATTATGATACAAAGCAAAAGTATATGTGGGCATGTTTATAGCTATACACAAAGAAGAGGAGACTGTTTATGTTATACTGAATGCCGTTCTCATCTCCTCCTCCCATATAAAAGTCAGGGTTGGCAGCATATGGCAGGCTGGGTCTCTGCTGCTGGCCAGGTCATTTGCATGCAAAATGTCAGAGTGCAGCCTGAGATTACTTCATTTAAAGTAGAGGAAAGAAGTGATATTGAGACCTATCTAAAAGCCTGTTTAAAACCAAAGATTTGAAAGGCTCTTTTTTTGGTACCTGAGAAGACAAAGAAAGAGAGAAAGAAGTCACCATGTGTGTAGAAAGGGAGGGTGAAAGGAAACATTCCTAGATCTGCATTATTTCCTCATGGTAATACCAGTTGCAGATAGCATCATCAGAGAACTGCAAATATTTAATTCCTTTATATGGCTGTACATTTTTTGTTACAAAGAAGGAGAAATGTTACATGGCATTGATTGTGTGCAGTATTATACCAGGAAAGGTGGAGGTTCTGATCTTCTGGTTGGCTTTGCTCACACCAGTGCCAACCACCTTTGGCACATGCTGATAGCCATGCCGAGCTGGCTGTTGGGCTGCATGTTCACGTGTCTTGTGGTCACACAGGTGCTCTTCTTCTAGTGCAGGCAATACTTAACCATGCACATACAATGTTCTTTTCCTTAGGTTAAAGAATATCCTGGAATAAAAATATTTCAAGCTAATGCATCACTTTATTTTGCCAATAGCGAGTCATATACAAGTGCACTGAAGAAAAAGGTGAGTAAAGCAAATTCTTTAGTGTCTGTGTCTTGAAAATTCAAACTGGCTTCTGAAACATGCTCATTTTCCAGGCCCTTTAGTGTAGCCCCTAGCACAGTGTTTCTCAGCCTGTGTTCCCACTGGTGATCAGTAAAATATGAGGTGACCCTTCAGCCAACTGGAAGTCATCTTGGGAAGCAGCAACATGGCGGGAGGGAATAAAGACAAAGTGTAGCTTAATACTAACCACTTGTGAATGGAGAGTCTGGTGGTTGCAGAGGACAAACTGGTCAAACACTTTTTTTTTTTTCAGAAGGAAATAAGTGGTTGCTGAACTGAAAACAAAATGTCTGGGAGTAAAAGCTTCCTTCTTGGGTGACAAACTTTACTGGAGTGTGAGACCATGGCATACTGCAGGCATTCAGTGCCTCTCATGAGCAACAGATTACCTCACCTCCTGTCTAACCTGTGTCTGACTGGGTGGGAATGGCAATAACAGAACTAGCTGAGGGCAGAACTGCCTGACCCAGTAGTAAATGCACCCTTACTAACTTCTGAAAAATTTTTCTGTAGCTCCCATGATGAGTCTTATACAAAACAGGTGGGTGGTGCTTATCTTCACAAAGCAAGAGGCATTAGCAATTTATGTCCAAATGCACTTCTCTCCCCTTTTCTCTCTGCACTCAAATCAGCATTTGGTTGGAACACATCACTCTCTGATTTCAAGAAAAGAATGTGATGCATCTCTTCCTCATCTTGTTAACATAGTGCTTGCCAAGATTATTTCTTCTTACTTCATACTGTTCTCACCCCACCAAGGGAAGCTGAATAACGCAGGCTTTAAATTTATGATGGTGCTAAATGCAGTGCTAATTGATACTGCAATGTCATCCTAACAAGCTGCATCTCCTCTGATCATGGTTTCTTTTCATGACAGACTGGAGTGGACCCTTGTGCCATATCAGCAGCAAGGAGAAAAGCCCAGAAGAGGCATGCCAGGGAAGTAAAGAAGGCAAATAAACTCAGAAAGAAAGCTGTATTGAAACTAGTGAATTCTTCGGTAAATATTTACCTCTGCTTTATCAGCTAACATGCTGCTTTCTGGTATTACCATTCCTGTTTATACAAGGTACAGAGTGCTACTCAGTTAGGAAGGCTTAGGGAGCAAGCACTGTGCAGTGTGGACAGGCCACTGATGGAACAACATTAAGGATCAGAGGCTCAAGGCTGGATTGGATAATTGTGTTGAACCTTGGTAACATTCAGGCAGCATATAGCAGAGCCTTTCCACGGTCATACTGTCACAGCAGTGGTGTCAGCAGAAAGTGGAGGGACCCTACCTCTGCTCCTCCCCACACACTTGGAATAATCATGCAGAAATAGGATATAATAAAATTAATTCATATTAGCATCCCCTGTAATAGAAAGGTGCCATCCACACTGCTGATCCTCGCGTGGCTGAGTGAGGTGGGTACATTGAGAAGGGTTGTTTGAAACATGCTCACGCTTTTGTGCATGTTTAAATTCACCCCCAGGGCGGGAGCTGGTGTTTGCTTTTTACCATGGGAAACCAACCAAATGCCTAACTGAAGAGCCCGATTGCTGTTCTTCCTTTAACCAATGGGCCTTGATAGCAGGGATAAGGCAAGGAAATGGAGTAAAACCATAGGAACAGGTGTCAGTGCTTGAAGGAAATGGGTAATTCTGTCCTAAGATAACAGCTTTCAGTTGTTTGCATGTGATTGTAGAAGGGCTGGGCATAAGAGAATAAACCTTGATACACATAAGGCATGGAAGTATGCGTGCATGTAAAGCCAGTTTCTGTAATGGTTAGGAGCTGTACGCTTTTTAAAGGCTGAAAGAACAGATGAGTATGGGGAGGAAGGAGATCTACACTGAAAAACATTGGCTGTCATTAAGCTTTGTCAATCTTCTCTCCCAGACTAACGACATGGAAGCAAGTGTAAAACATGAGATAGCAAATGATGAGTTATCTGTAAATGGAAAATTTGCATCTGCAGATGCTACTGTACAAGACATGTATCCTGATGAGCATGAACACTTTGTGGAGCCCAAAGCAAACATCCACTCTTTAATTCTGGATTTTGCCCCAGTGAACTTTGTGGATTCAGTTGGAGCAAAAACATTAAAATCAGTAAGTAAGGCCTTTTCTCCTCAAAAAACCATAGAAAACTTCTGAGATACCTAATAGGGAACATGTCAGCATGAGACATAAATGCCAGCTCAAGTACCATCCTGTATTTCACCTAATCACAGTTTTAATTCTGTAGCTCTGTAAGTTTTAGCAGAATACTGGGGAATGTGTACTGTGCAAGTTTCGTAGTATTGCCTTACATCTTCCCGAACTGCAGTGTGTACAATGATATCTGTGTTTAACTTCAGTTTAACTCTGTTGCAGATTATAAAAGAATACAAAGAAGTTGGTGTCTGTGTCTGCATTGCCAGCTGTAGTGGTGAGTTGAGATTTTTTTTGTGTGGGTGAGCTTTATGG